AAGAATAGTGCTCCACAGCCAACTATGAACCGACAAGAATACTGATCATGGAAGACTATCCTACTTGGTCAACGAGGGATCGCCTAAGTAAGTAAGGTTATGAAGCACTTTACTCCTAACAGATTTGCATGCAGCAGTGCTTCCCAGGGTAGCTGATGTGGAAACTGGTGGTGATTTGTACCCGCTGGGCATAAGTCCTTCCTTTTCCAGAAACTTGACAGGGACTGATATGTCCCAGGGATTGGCACCAGTGAAGAAACTTGAGAAGCACTGGTCTATATACAGTTGCTGCACAGGTTTCTGTGTATGATCTTGAACAGAACACTGTCTTAACTCTGTGCCTGTTAAGGAAGTGAAAACCTGAAACCACTTCAACATTCATCACCAAGGTCACGGTTCAATTCTGTTGTCTTCCCTATGCATTTCCTTGTTTAACTGCCCCCTCTACCTCAACTTCCCAGCTTTTCACTTCCAAAATGAGTCACAGCAGTAAGGCTGTTTTGCTATTGGATGGATGATTTAAGGCTGCGGGAACCAGTGGCCTGGCAATAGCAATGGGAGAGGCCCATTGTAAGGTAAGCACAAAGTGTAAACACAAAAAGGAGTTGCAAAAAGTGAAACTGAAAGGAGAGGAAAGAAATGTATGTGAAGGAGTAACTGGAATATGGGGATAGGAATGACAAAATATAAGGATGGTTTGTCAACAGTTTTTGAAAATGACCCCCACCCTCATTCATTCTGGATATATTTTCACACAGAGATTGGTACTCTGTGTCCTGCTAGATCAGGCATGGGCAAACTTTGGCCCTCCAAATGTTTTTGACTCCAACTCTATAATCAGGACAGTAAATAAAGAGCAACACCCACCCCACCTCCCAAAAAACAGGGAAATTCCAGACATGAAACAATCAGGGCCAGCTAACCCCCCCCCCCCCACACACACACACACACACACAAAGGATTCTTCCAGGCAGCAAGCAGCCAGTCTTGGAAGTTGCAAGGCCATTCAATGCTAATTGAGATGGCCAATTGGAATATTCCCACTTGCCTCAAGCAGACAAGAGTTCTTTCTCCCACCCTGGACATTCCACAGATATATAAACATCATGTGCCTAGTTTCCAACAGACCTCACAACCTCTGAGGATGCCTGCCATAGATGTGGGCAAACATCAGGAGATAGTGCTTCTGGAACATGGCCATACAGCCTGGAAAACTCACAGCAACCCAGTGATTCCAGCCCTGAAAGCCTTCGACAACACATCCAAAGACACATCTCTTCTTGCAGAGTTTTTAACTATGAATCTAAACTCATCCGTCCTTTGTTTGATGTCTTGCTTTGTGTACTTTAATATGTATTTTATAAAAATGCAGTTTTAATGTGTATCTTTTAACTAAATATGTATATGTATTGGATTTTTGCAATGTTCTTCTTTTGTAATTGTGTTGTAACCTGCCTTGAGCCATAAGGAGAGACGGGTAAGAATAATAATAATAATAATAATAATAATAATAATAATAAATTCCATTTACTCTTCTCTCAAAGAGTGGCAGAGCTATTATTTCCCACTCTGTAATGAGGATTAGGACAAAATAAACACAGCTGTCTCTTGGATCTTGTAGCTTTGGGTTCCTGCCCTCCCCCACTCCATGGATACCAAAATCTGTGGGTGCAAAAATCTCATGTACATAGCTACATATACATTCCATATTAAACAAAATGGCAACTCTAAAGTTTACTTTTTGGTTTTTAAAAAATATTTTCAAAGTGGGATGGTTGAATCCATGGATGTAGAATCGATGTATAAAGAGATCCAGTTGTGATCTAAATGTATCAGACCCTATCTGATCTTGGAGGGTAAGTGGCATCAGCCTTGGTGAGTACTTGAATGGGAGACCCCCATAGAAAGATGGGTGCTGGAGGCTCTACTGTGGTTGCTGGCAAATCTCTGAACATTTTAGGCCTACCCCGAAGAACGGATGCAGTTTGACACCAGTTTAATCGCCATGGTTCAATGCTATGTTATCCTGAGATTTGTAGTTTTGCAAATTATTTTGCTGGTAAATCTCTGAACATTTTAGGCCGATGCCATAAAATGGATGCAGTTTGACACCAATTGAATCGCCATGGCTCAATGCTATTGTATCCTGGGATTTGTAGTTTTGCAAGGTATTTTGCTGGTAAATCTCTGAACATTTTAGGCCTACCCCGCAGTTTGGAACCAATTGAATCGCCATGGTTCAATGCTATGGTATCCTGGGATTTGTAGTTTTGCTAGGTATTTTGCTGGCAAATCTCTGAACATTTTAGACCGATGCTGCAGAACTGACGAAGTTTGGAACCAATTTAATCGCCATGGTTCAATGCTACGGTATCCTGGGATTTGTAGTTTTGCAAGATATTTGCCTTCTCTGCTGAAGAATGCTGGGACCCTAGCAAACTAGAACTTCCATAGTATTGATGCACCGTAAAAAAAAAAAAGCCAAAATCAACAGGTGACTTGAAGGCAGACACACCAAAGATATCCCTCTAGGTGCCTAAATATCCTAAAGGCACAGGAGGGATTGACAAAACTCTTACTTTGGCAATCCCTCGTTGTCCAAGTAGGATAGTTTTCCAGGATCAGTGTCCTGGCGGTGGGTCCGTAGGTGTCTGTGGAGCCCTATTCTTGATCTGCATCTTCTCCCGCAGTGAGGGCATTGGTTTCCAGGTGGAAGGCAGTCCCGGCTGGGGTTGGCTTGACACACCTTCTTCTTGGCAGGTATCTCTCTTTTGCCCTCCATTCATGCCTCTTCAAATTCTGCAGTACTGCTGGTCACAGCTGACCTCCAAATGGAGCGCTCAAGGGCCAGGGCTTCCCAGTTCTTAGTGTCTATGCCAGAGCTTTGAGCCCATCTTTAAATCTCTTTTCCTGCCCACCAACCAACTCTTACATTGCGTAGATCTGCACTGTTGGAACTGCATTGCAGGGTCCCCAAAAGGCCTTTCTGGCTAAAAGGGGGCGGGGCCAGCGACATAGCCGGTCCCTGGGCGGATGACGAGCCCCGCGAGGCCTTTCTTTCTCCAAATATGGGCCGTTCCTGGAAGCCTGGAGAGTGTCGTGCGGGAGCCGGAAATCTCCCTGGCAGCCGCCGCGGCCTCTTTCCCTCTCCTCTCTTCCAAGCAAAGCCAAGGCTGTCGCTGTTCCCGGCCCGGCCTGCAGGGGGCAGCACTCCCCTCTTGGCGCTGAAGAAGCACAACATCTCATAGAAGGAGCCTCAGTCACAGGCATGGGCAATCTTGGGCCCTCCATGTGTTTGGACTCCAACTCCCATCACTCCTAACAGACTCAGGCCCCTTCCTTTTCCCCCTCCGCCGCTTAAGCAGCTGAGGCTGTTAGGAGTGATGGGAGTTGGAGTCCAAAACACCTGGAGGGCCCAAGCTTGCCCTGCCTGCAATAGAGTCTTAGTCTAACACTCAAACTACTACATCACACTGGCTTTTAGGGGTAAGACTACAATAAGCCTTGCTATTGGTAAGGTAAAGGTTTCCCCCTGACATTAAGTCTGGGGGTAGTGCTCATCTCCATTTCTATCCTGAAGAGCCAGTGTTGTCCATAGACACCTCCAAGGTCATGATGGCATGGAGCGCCCTTACCTTCCCGCTGGAGGGGTACCTATTTATCTACTCACATTTGCATGTTTTCAAACTGCTAGGTTGACAGAAGCTGGGGCTAACAGCGGGAGCTCACGGTACTCCCTGGATTTGAAGCTGCGACCTTTCGATGAGCAAGTTCAGCAACTCAGAGGTTTAACCCACTGCGCCACCAGGGCAGTCATGTAAATAGGCAGGACCCAAGCCTGCTGATCTACTCACTTTTGCATGTTTTCAAACTGCTAGGTTGGCAGAAGCTGGGGCTAGCAGTGGGAGCTCACAGTGCTCCCCGGATTCGAACCTGCAATCTTTTGGTTAGCAAGTTCAGCAGCTCAGCAGATTAACCCACTGCGCCTCCTTGGTATTGGAGCCTGCCAATATCTGGTTTTTTGACAAGGAGACCAAACCATCCTCATCATCTTGCTTTTCTCTTTTGATTGAGGCCCAAAACAGCTCACATGCCTTAAAAAGCAACAAGGTGTAAAATAGAGCGAGAGAATGACAACAGCTCTTCCTTTTCAGCAAACATGCATTTGGGGAGGCAGGGGAAGATTTATGGGTGATGCAGTTGCTTCCTTTTGGCAACAACAGATTAACAGATGTTGTGTTTTCTTTATGCCTGTTTGGGAAGGATGGCGAGGGAAGGAACTCAAAGAATCATAGATTTGGAAGAGACCTCATGGACCATCCAGTCCAACCCCCTGCCAAGAAGCAGGAAAATCGCATTCAAAGCACCCCTGGCCATCCAGACTCTGTTTCAAAGCCTCCAAAGAAGGAGCCTAAACCACACTCCGGAGCAGAGAGTTCCACTGCTGAACAGCTCTCACAGTCAGGAAGTTCTTCCTCATGTTCAGGTGGTATCTCCTTTCCTGTAGTTTGAAGCCATTGTTCCACATCCTAGTTTCAAGAGTGGACTGAGAGGAGTCCACCAAAGATGAGCTTTTATCCCTGAATCCTTCATTGAGGGATTTTGGGGCTGTGCAGAGTAGTCCAAGCCAGCCAGGAGGAACACCTAACACCCCTCCCCATGTTTGAAAAGTAAGACAAAACCGTATATTTGTAGAAACCCGGCTGCAGAAGTGTGCAGACCGCTGGAGGACAGAGGCTCTATTATACAACTCTGACCTCACTGGCAGCAAAGACACTCGACCCCTTTCTCCAATAATAATAATAATAATAATAATAATAATAATAATAATAATAATAATAAAGTGTAGGGGGCAGACTTTCTATAACTCCTGTAAGATTCAACAAAGCTGCTTATTCTTCCTTAAAGAATGATTGCCACAATGTTTACCCCCTTTGACCCACACTCACATCTCCCCTCTCCACACCCACGTCCCATTAGGATCCAGGAGTGACACTTACCTGGAAACCTGTTCCCAGTCCCTATGAAATGTCTCGCTGGGAAGGGAGCAGGCGGCAGACCGTCTAGGTTTCTTCTCCTCCTCCAAAAGAGCAGTGGGGCTGGTGAGGGGTTCACTCCCCTCCCCGAAATGGCCAACCTCTGGAAGCTAGAAGCACATATAAGACACTAAGCGTATGGCAATGGTAGACAGCCAGGTTGATCATGTTGCCTTTCCCTCTCACATCTCCTCCCTCCTTCCCTCCTCCTTGCTTCCCCCACTACTCTGTTATAGGGTCATATATATATATATATATTCCAAAGGTCCTCCTTTACTAAGCCTAAAAGAACAGCAAATCAAAGATTCTCCATCAAGGACCCCCTTTAGGATGAGTGTACACAACTTTGTGGGTTCCTTAGGCAGCTTCTCTTAACAAGGGAGTGTGTTGTTATTCTTTCAAAACTAACAAATCAGCAAGCCACAATTGTTTCCTCCAGTGCTTTTCCTCCTAAACCATAATAGGCAGATTGTGTAAAGAAAGAAAAAGAAAAAAAGAAAAGAAAGGGGGGGCTGGAGAGAAAAGAAATACACCCCACCAGGAATTCCAAAGAATTTCCTGCCCTGGGAACAAAAACTGAAGTCTATATTTAACAACATCTGAAGCTGTCAAGAATGCGTTGCGGTTGGATAACAGAGTCGAAAAATGTGGAAAATGCAGGCTACTGCTCTACCAAATATGGAAATATTGTTACGTCTAGTAGTGTCTGAATCACCATCTGGAAATACTTACGGCCCTGGAGCCGAATCGCAGGACGCCACAACAGAAGCCGAGACCCCTCCTCAAACGCCTTAAATGGGAGAAGAGAAATTATTAAATGGATTTCACCGCAGAGGCAAATACTATAAACCTTGATAAACACCAGGCCTGACAAGGAAGACAGGCTCCGGTGGCCTGCTGTTGCTTTTTTTAAACTTACTCATGGGCCTAAAAAATTGATCTTGGCCTCAGCAAAGTGTTTGCTTTCTGCATGATGACGGCAGCAGGAATGAAGCGTTAGATACTCTCCTATTTGGAACCTAATGCAACCTATTAAAGGTACTTATATGAGAAAAATAGGCATATTGCACAGTTACAGCACTATTTATACTATTTTAACAGATTTGGCTCCATCCTATGGAATCCTGTAATGTGTAGTTTGATGAGATATGTAGACTTCTCTAATACAGCACTGGACGTTTCAGATAGAGAAGTCTTAAGTCCCTTATCAAACTATAACTCTCAGGATTCCATGAGATGGAGCCAAGGCAGTTGAATAGTATCAAAGTGATATAATGTTGTAATGTGGATATACTTGATTACATGGCAGATATTTTGTTGCTGTTGTGTGCCTTCTGAAATGAATCACAGGAACTTCTGGGGCTGAGAGTATGTGACTTTGCCCTGATCTCGAACCCTGAACCTCAGAATCATCATCCAATACTCAAACCATTACACCACACCGGCTCTCTAGTATATATTTAGGCACCTCTATATAATATTTTAAAATAGCTTCGGAACAGTCCCGTCTTCCTTGGAAAGTGCAGTTTAAGCACTGTTTATTTTAAATGCTTATCATCCCATTCTAGACTGAAGGTCACTGCGAGTTCACTGTTCCATTGGAATAACTTTCCAGTTTGCTTTCTCTGAAGCAGATTCTCACTCAGCCTCCAAGGCAGATCAAGAGTCAGAAATGCAAGAAATGCAGAGACCTGCTTGAAAGGGTTTATTTTCAGCTACCACTCCATTCATGCCTTGTATTCATGAGAAAGACTGCAGACTTTGCGAATACGGAAATCAGAGGAGGGTGAGGATGCATCTCCACTGTAGAATTAATGCAGTTCGATACCACTTTTCACTGCCATGGCTCAATGCGATGGCATTCTGGTGAGGCACCAGCACTCTTTGGTTTCTTGTTGTTAATTCGTTCAGTTGTTTCCAACACTTCATGACCTCATGGACCAGTCCACACCAGAGCTCCCTGTCATCCGGCACCACCCCCAGCTCCTTCAAGGTCAAACCAGTCACTTCAAGGATGCCATCCATCTTGTCCTTGGTCGGCCCCTCCTCCTTTATCCTTCCATTTTCCCCAGCATCATTGTCTTCTCTAAGCTTTCCTTTCTTCTCATGATGTGGCCAAAGTACTCCATCTTTGCCTCTACTATCCTTCCCTCCAATGAGCAGTCGGGCTTTATTTCCTGAAAGTTAAAGATCATGTAAAACTACAATTTCCAGAACTCCACAGCACGGAGCCAAGGCAGTTAAAGTAGTGTCAAACTCCATTCTACACTGTAGATATGCCTTAAATCAGTGGTCCTCAACCTTTGGGCCTCCAAGTGTTTTGGACTTTGGCACCCAAAAACAGTGGCCAAGCTGAACAGGATTTCTGGAAGTTGAATTCCCCTCAGAAAAAACCTGGGAACCAGACTCAGTGGAATCATGGGTTAAATTTCCATAAAACCACAGTTGAATAATGGGACAAGAAGATCCCTCCTCCTTTCTTGGAACACATCCAATATTTTCTTTTGAACCTTTCCCATTCATTAAAAAAAGGGAAGGTTTAAATGAGGCCATCTGGATATTAGGTTAGGATCCACCCTTTCATTCCAGCAATGGATCCGAGTCCGACCCTCCTTTTCCACTCTTCCCTCTATAATCTTCAATCCAACTATAAGCCATTTAGCAAACACTTCGGACAAGACAATCTGGTCTGCAAACCACTTGTTTCCCAGGCTGCAAGGTGAAGAAAGCTTCCTGGGAAATGGTGGTGGGAGCTGGATGGGATAGGAGGCAGAAACATTAGATATGGTATTATATATATTGTCACATAATATACAATTTTGATTAACAACCTTTTTTTCCCAGGCTGCAAGGTGAAGAAAGTCCCCTGTAAAATGGGAAGGAGAAAAAAGTAATATTATATATATCCCATATATAAAAAGTAAAAAGGCCTGTCAAAAGAGATAAGACTTTAATTCTGTTTTAAATTCTGACAGCTCATCCAATTGTCTAATCTAGCAGGTCATTCTGCAGCATAATATTATATGCAGTCTTGACTAAACTCTGTTTCCCAGGTTGAAAAGGAGGGAAACTTTATTGGGAAAAGGAAGGATGAGGACAAGATGGATGGGATGGAGAATCTATATCTATATAATATGTAAAATATAATATTATATACAGTCTTGATCAAAGCCTCTTGTGGGGGTGTGGGAAGAAATATTATATAATATATACAATCTTGACTCAAAACCTGTGTTTCCCAGGAGAAACATTCTCCTTCCTTGGAGGCTTTTAAACAGAGGTTGGATGGCCATCTGTCAGGAGTGCTTTGATTGTGCTTTTCCTGTATGGCAAGGAGTTGGACTGGATGGCCCGTGTGGTCTCTTCCAACTCTATAATTCTATGATTCCTGGAAAACAGTGGGAGTCAGGGAAGCTGTATGGAATAGAGAGGGGAAAGAGAGGGGTGTTAGGCTATATTATATTTAATGTTATAGAGAAACTTTGGGATTATACAAATCAGATATTTGTTTTTGTTGTCATGTCACTACTACTATAAATGTAAAGAGCCGATATATGGAATAAGTTTAAATGTTTATATTGGAAAGTGCTTATTATACTTTTAAAGGTTGTATATTATTTATGTTGTGGCCTATGGCTGCCTATGAAGAAGGTCCGGAAGCTTCAATTAGTGCAAAGATCAGACTGCTGACCAGGGCGGACTGTAGGGAACATACTACTCCCCACTAAAGGCAAATCCATTGGTAGCAGATCTGCTTCCAGTCCCAATTCAAAGTGCAAGTTATTACCTATAAAGCCCTATATGGCTTGGGTCCTGCCTATTTACATGACTGCCCTGGTGGCTCAGTGGGTTAAACCACTGAGCTGCTAAACTTGCTAACCAAAAGGTTGCAGGTTTGAATCCGGGGAGCGCCGTGACTTCCCATTGTTAGCCCCAGCTTCTGCTAACCCAGCAGTTTGAAAACATGCAGATGTGAGTAGATCGGTAGGTACTGCTCCAGTGGGAAGGTAACAGCACTCCATGCAGTCATGCTAGCTACATGACCTTGGAGATGTCTATGGACAACGCCGCCTCTTTGGCTTAGAAATTGAGATGAGCACCAACCCCCAGAGTTGGACACGGCTGGACTTAATGTCAGTGGAAAACCTTTACCTACCTATCTCTTATGAATCTGTTTGGGCTCTAAGATCAGTCAGGGAGGCTCTCCTCTCAATTCCATCTCCCTCACAAGCAAGATTGGTGGGGGCGAGGGCCTTCTTGGTTGTGGCCCCCCGACTTTGGAATTCCCTCCACAAGAAAATTAGACAAGCACCCACCCTTATAACTTTTAGGAAGGAACTGAAAACCTGACTATTTAATCTGGCTAAGGGTATCAACCACCCTATCGGTCAGGACCTTAAATGGTTATTCGAACTATAATTTATAATGCTGGATACTCTGATCATATGGATTGGCAGGTTTTAAACAGTCTTTAATTATATACTGTTTTTAGAGGGCTTAATGGTATTTTAAATGGTTTATCGTAAATTGTATTGCACTAATTGACTTGGCCCTTCCAGCCCTAACTTATCTCCTGGCTCCTGCACTTTGCTATCAGCCCTGTCCTTGCAGTTGCATTGCATAAGCCATGCCTCGCCCCTTAGTTCTGAATATGCCTACTTTGCTTGGCTATTGGTTGTTGTTTGATGGTTTATGTTACGATATTTTGTATATGTATTTTTATTGTATTATATTTTAACTTTGTTTGACAGGCTTGGTCCTCATGTAAGCCGCCCCGAATCCCTTCAGGGAGATGGAGGCGGGATAAAAAAATAAAGTTGTTGTTATTGTTGTTGTTGTTGTTATCTGTGTTTAAACCACTGTGCCATTTGGTTTTTATTAATTGCTATGTGATCATTGTCTGTGTTATATCACTTATTGCATTCGTTTGTTTTGTTGTAAGCTGCCCTGAGTCCCTTCAGGGAGAGATAAAGATTATGATTATTATTATTGATACACAACAAGATGAGTACACAGCAAAGAAGATCACTATGCTGGCTTTTGTATTTGATCACACGTTAGACACTTCTCAAGTGTCTAGGACTGTGTGATGTATTGGCAAATAATGTCTGCAAATCGTAGTTAGTAGTAGTAGTAATTATTATTGATTTGCTTACTTTATTTCTACCCTGCCTTTCTCGCCCCTTTGGGGGACTTAAGACGGCTTACATGTAACACTAATTTTCAATGAAGCAAATTATTTTAGGATACTTACAGCTTTGCTAGTGTAAACATAGTGACCTTTGTTCTTTAGAATTTGCTAAATTCAGGTATACTGCTTTGTGACCATTGTTGGAGACCTCTGGAGGCATTAATGAAAACAATATGCCTTCTCACAGCAGCTGTTCACCATTGGGGGTTCTTTGATCATCTGGAGAGGCCCTACTTGCACTCCCACCTGCATCGCAAGCGCAATTGGTGGGGACGAGAGAGAGGGCCTTCTCGGTGGTGGCCCCTCGACTCTGGAACTCACTTCCTAAGGACATCAGGCATGCCCCAACTTTGGCAGTCTTTAGGAGGAGCTTGAAAATGTGGTTGTTCCAGTGTGCCTTCCCAGAATAATGAACCCTTAGCATTATGTCCTCTAAAAGCACTTTATACTGATTTAGGATTGCTTGTACGTTTCCACCAACGCCCCACCTCATAGAATCATAGAATCAGAGTTGGAAGAGACCTCATGGGCCATCCAGTCCAACCCCCTGCCAAGAAGCAGGAATATTGCATTCAAATCACCCCTGACAGATGGCCATCCAGCCTCTGCTTAAAAGCTTCCAAAGAAGGAGCCTCCACCACACTCTGGGGCAGAGAGTTCCACTGCTGAACGGCTCTCACAGTCAGGAAGTTCTTCCTAATGTTCCTCTATCTTGTTCATGCCCAGCATTATTGTTTAAACTTTAATTGCATTTGGCTCAGCCATAGATTTTAAATGTGTTTTGTGCTATTGTTCAATGTTTATGCTATTTATGTATGAGTTTTATTTTTAACTGCTTTGTATTAGTATTAGTATTTTGCTTTGTATTGTGGTTGTTGTTGCTTGTATTGATGTATTGTGGGCTTGGCCTCATGTAAGCCGCACCGAGTCCCTTGGGAGATGGTAACGGGGTATAAATAAAGTTTTATTATTATTATTGTTATTATTATTATTATTAATTTTTGCATGACTTCATGCAATTTTTGCATGACTTAATTTTGCATGACTATGGATCACTGCATCATAAAATTTTATGTCAAATTGTATTATTATATTATTAATAAAATTTAATGTAAAATTTAATAAAATTAATTTTGATTAAATTTTACCTTTAAAATTATTGTTATTATACTTTTCCAGGTGCAACGTGGATAATTTCTCTAGAAAATGGTGATGGTAGCTGTATGTGGTTGGTGGGAAGGGGATACATACATTATGCTATATTATATTGTCTACAATGTTGCCCCAAACTATTTTTGTTCCCAGGTTCCAAAGTGGAGAAACTTTCCTGAGAAACTGGGGAGGGTGAAAGAAGAGGAAGCTGAGAACGAGTATATATATGTGTGTGTGTTTGTGTATATATGTGTGTGTGTGTATGAAATTCTCCAAGCGGAGGTGTAAGGCTTCCTTCCCTTCCTACGTCAAAAGGCCTTGCTGGAGAAAGGCTCTGGGGCCGGGCCTGTTTGCTGGGCGCGAGGCGCGCGGGTCCCGCCCCTCACTCCCCCCGGCGCGAGGAAGAGACAGGGCGGGGCTTGGAGGCGGCGCGCGCCAAGGCCACATTCCTGAGATGCTTGAGAATTCCTGATGCTTGAGAATTCTGGAACGCTCAACGTCAGCGCAGCTGCGGCACGCGGCGCTGTATATAAAGCGGCTCCCGCTCAGCGCCTCCTCAGACGGCAAAGGGATCCCCGAGAAGGCAGAGGCGCGGCTCGAGCACCAACTGCAGCAGCAGCCTCGCGCCCTCTTTCTTTCTTTCTCTCTCTCTCTTTCACTCTCTCACTCTCACGCACACAAGGAAAAGAAGCAAAGCTCCCTCCTGGAGTTTTATTTTCAACTTTGCTTTGGCTTTTGGAGACAAGAAGAGGCTCAACCATGACTCTCCAGAGAAGCAGCTGCCTCGTCTTGACCTTGGCCCTCCTGCAGTTAGCCCACAGGGTAGGTTTGGGGGACTGTCTTGTTTTTCACTTTGGACCCTTCCAGGATCAGATCCCAGGTTTTCTGCTTTAAAAACCGGATTATATGAGTTCACACTGCCATATAATCCGGGATAAACACAAAACCTGGGATCAGATCTTGGGATACAGGGCCTGCCCGGAAGGAAAAAAACCATACCTGGTGTTCCAGGATCAGGCCAGCATCTGATCCCATGTTTTCTGCTTTAAACCGGATTATGTGAGTCCACACTGCCATATAATCCGGGATAAACACAAAACCTGGGATCAGATCTTAGGATACAGGGTCTGCCTGGAAGGAAAAAAAATCTCTGGCTTTCCAAGATCAGACGAGTATCTGATCCCATGTTTTTTTGCTTTAAACCGGATTATATGAGTCCCCACTGCCATATAATCTGGGATAAACACAAACTCTGGGCTCAGATCCTGGGATACAGGGCCTGCCTGGAAAGGGAAAAATACATCCCTGGCTTGCCAGCATCTGGTCCCATGTTTTCTGCTTTAAACCGGATTATATGAGTCCACACTGCCATATAATCCGGGATAAACACAATGTGGGATCAGATCCTGGATTACAGGGCCTGCCTGGAAGGAACAAACCGTTAGAGTAACATTTAGTACAATGCTATACTATTTGCTATGCTTTGAAGGCTGCCTGCCTAGGGATGGGGCGAAAGGAGGGGAAGAAGGTGCACAATAAGGATTTTGAGAGGAAGTACTCCTCTCCCAGGATGGCAGGCTTGGCTCTTAAAGGTGCGGTGCCCGGATTTTCCTCAGTTGAAGGAAGGCGAGTTGCTTCTTGCCTTGCTTCTGTGCCTGGCTGCGTCTTCCTAACCTTTCCCTGCCTTGCTCCTTTCCCCAGGTGGCGCCCGCTTGCCCCTCCGCCTGCCAGTGTCCCCTGGAAGTCCCCAGGTGCGCCCCAGGAGTCGGGCTGGTCCTGGACGGGTGCGGATGCTGCAAGGTCTGCGCCAAGCAGCTCAACGAGGACTGCAGCAAGACGCAGCCCTGCGACCACACCAAGGGCCTGGAATGCAACTTTGGCGCCAGCACCACCGCTCCGAAGGGCATCTGCCGAGGTAAACATCTCCTATAGCGTGCTCTACGTAGCAGCGGGGAAGTTTCGCACTTTTCGGCCCATGTATGGTGAGGCTTTGTTGTTGGTCGATTGGCAGAAGGGGCATATATGACTTCAGCCGTCTGGAATGCGATTCACGATGTCTGGGCTGCACTGCACTCAGCGGCACATAAGGAAAAGTGATTCCTGACTAACTTATTGTTCTAGTTCCAGGGCTCTAGGGGATGGCGAGGAACTTTTACAAAAATAATAAAACTTCCTCCTGCTTCAGCCGACTGAGCCTCATGTATATAATAAAGTACAATATGGAACAAAGTGCAGTGTGATGTGACACAATGCCACAATAATGTGAATGTATATTATTGTTTTAAATGGTTATGTTATATACTTATTATCAATGTATTTGGATTGTTTACATGATTTTAAAAGATTGTTGAAGGCTTTCACGGCTGGAATAATTGGGTTGCTGTGAGTTTTTTGGGCTGTATGGCCATGTTCCAGAAGCATTCTCTTCTGACGTTTCGCCTGCAACTATGGCAGGCATCTTCAGAAGTTGTGAGGTCTGTTGGAAACTAGGACACCTCCTGACAAAGTATCCCCCCTCCCCAGGCAGCAACCAGACAGACTTTGAAGCGTCAAGGCCATTCAGTGCTAATCAAGATGGCCAATTGCAACATTCCCACTTGCCTCCAGCAGACAAGAGTTCTTTCTCCCAGCCTGGACATTTCACAGATATATAAACACCACTTGCCTAGTTTCCAACAGACCTCACAACCTCTGAGGATGCCTGCCAGAGATGTGGTTGAAACTTCAGGAGGGAATGCTTCTGGAACATGGCCATACAGCCTGGAAAAATCGCAACACCCAGTGATTTTAATATGTACAAAGCCATTAGGGGTCCAATGAGGGAGAAAAGCAGGATATAAAGGAAGATTTATTGTTATGTTATTATAACTATTCTTCTTTTTTAACCTCACAGCCCAGTCCGAAGGGAGGCCCTGCGAGTACAACTCCAAAATCTACCAGAATGGGGAGAGCTTCCAGCCCAACTGCAAGCACCAGTGTACCTGCATCGATGGGGCTGTGGGCTGTGTGCCACTCTGCCCGCAAGAGCTCTCCCTCCCTAACCTGGGATGCCCGAACCCCAGGCTTGTGAAGATCCCCGGGCAGTGCTGCGAGGAGTGGGTCTGCGACAACTCCAAAGACACCCTGGAAGACCTGGACGGCTTCTTTGGGAAAGATTTTGGCCTGGATGTCTCTGAAGGAGAATTGACCAGGAAAAATGAGCTCATCGCTATCGTGAAGGAAGGGCTGAAAATGATGCCTGGTGAGTTGAGAATGCAGAAGGGAGGGGAGGGGGTGTTATGCAGGACTGGGGGAGGGGGATTGTTGCCAGGATACTTTATCCTGTGAGGATTATCTCTCGAAGTCTATAGTGTTCTGCTAGGAATGTTGATGAAAAGACAAGATGATGATGATGATGATGATGATAATAACAACAATAGGAGGATTTAAAGATTGAACTGCAAAGACTTTGGCACAAGCCAGTCAAGGTGGTCTGGGTGGTGATAGGCACACTGGGTGCAGTGCCTAAAGATGTTGGCCTGCACTTAAAAACAATTGGTGCTGACAAAAATGATCATCTGTCAGCTGCAAAAGTGGAGCCCCCGGATGCATGTACACATGCATGTGTGTGAATAACCACCTATTGTCATGTATAATGGAGCCCCCGGTGGCGCAGTGGGTTAAAGCCCTGTGCTGGCAGGACTGAAGACCGACAGGTTGCAGGTTCGAATCCGGGGAGAGGCGGATGAGCTCCCTGTATCAACTCCAGCTCCTCAGGCGGGGACATGAGAGAAGCCTCCCACAAGGATGATAAAAAACATCAATTCATCCGGGCGTCCCCTGGGCAACATCCTTGCAGACGGCCAATTCTCTCACACCAGAAGCGACTTGCAGTTTCTCAAGTTGCTCCTAGAACGACAAAAAAAAAAGCTACAAAAGGCTCTGCACACATTATTTGCTGATAGCTAGACACTTGGGAAGTGTCAGGCATGTGATCAAATACAAAAGCCAGCCTAGTATCTTGTTTGTTGTGTACTAATCCTGTTATGCATCAAATAATAATATTTATTTATATACTGTCCTCTCTCCCCGAAGGGGCTCAGAGCTGTTTACACACAAAAAAGGCAAAAAAAGAAAAATACATAAACAAATAACCATCCCGCCCAAAAACATACAGAATTGTGTTAAAAGGCAGAAAACCCAACGAAAAGCTCCACAAAGCATCCCAGAAGGCTTCTGTAATCTATGCAAGTGGTGGAACTACTTCTTGGTAGAACTTGTGAAGTTTACACTGTTCCCTTTTCTTTCCTTTTAGTCTTTGAGTCTGAACCTCGCAGCCATTCCTTTGAGAACCCCAAGTGCATTGTCCAAACCACCTCCTGGTCCCAGTGTTCGAAGACCTGTGGGACTGGCGTCTCGACCCGAGTCACCAATGACAACCCCAGCTGCAGGCTAGTGAAAGAGACCAGGATATGCGAAGTGAGGCCATGTGGGCAGCCTAGCTACGACTCTTTGAAGGTAAACACATCCCCTCACTACAACTTTCCCATTTCCAAGTAATTGTGGGTGGTGGGCGTGTTTTGAAGCCGAGCCCTGACTTGACCTCTCTGCCGATCTCTTCCTCGCAGAAGGGAAAGAAGTGCACCAAGACCAGAAAGTCCCAAGCGCCTGTCAAGTTCACGTACGCCGGATGCTCCAGTGTGAAGCGGTACCGCCCCAAGTACTGTGGCTCCTGCGTGGATGGGAGGTGCTGCACTCCTCAGCAGACCAGGACGGTCAAGATCCGGTTCCGCTGTGACGACGGAGAGACCTTCTCCAAGAATGTCATGATGATCCAGTCTTGCAGATGCAACTACAACTGCCCTCATTCAAACGACGCCTACCCCAATTACCGGCTATTTAACGACATCCACAAATTTAGGGACTAAATTGTGACATGGGCAGGCTTGAGCAAGAGCCTTAACTTGTTTGTTTTTTTCAAGTCTTTTCTGAAGTAACAGTGAAGAAATATAAACTCTTATGGAAGTGGTGCCTTTGCCCATTGGAGGGCAACACTGAGACACAAGAATGCACTGTGCAACTGGATACTAATGCCACAGTTTGAGCATATTTAAAGCTTCATAATACTGGAGCAATCTCGTTGCTTCATTTTGGAGCACTTTTCATGATTACTGATTTCTGTTTGTTAACTGATCTGTTTGTATGTTTGTCTGTCTGTTCCGGTTATGAAAAACTTTTCAGTTCCCTATTTTCCATCATCATACCACACTTTTGTTGTTGTTTCAAAACAACTTCATGTTGGAGGTTACATTCCTTCCTAAGGTGGGGACTTTTGGAGTTCTCATCTATGGCAGCTATAGGTACCAGCTATATATATATTTCACACCCGCAAACAGAAATTGGTTGTTGTTTTTTTTAAGCTGAATATTTTATTTATCAAAATGTAGCTCTTTTTTTTGTTTTGGAGGAAAAAAATCCCTAATACTGGAATAAGTTGTAAATGATTTAATTTTATATTCAATGAATTAAGAGAATTTTATTTATGGAATTAATCATTTAATAAAGAAATATTTACCTAAGTTCATGTACTTCATGACCTAATTTCCTTGCCTAAGAGTAAAGGTTTCCCCTTGATATTAAGTCTAGTTGTGTCCAACTCTGGGGGGTGGTGCTCATCTTCATTTCTAAGCCAAAGAGCCGGCGTCCACAGACACTTCCAAGGTCATGTGGCCAGCATGACTGCATGGAGCACTTACTTTCCCGCAGAAGCAGTCCCTATTGGTTTACTCACATTTGCATGTTTTCAAACTGCTAGGTTGGCAGAAGTTGGGACTAACGGCGGGAGCTCACCCCATTCCCCAGATTTGAACTGCTGTCCTTTTGGTCAGTAAATTCAGCAGCTCAGTGGGTTAACCAGCTATGCCACCGGGGGCTCTTTCCTTACCTAATTTCAACAAATGATTCAATGTTTGGGAGAGCAGGAGAACATAAGGAGGAACTTTATCCCACTGAAGGGGTACGAAGTCTTAATACCAGTACTGAAACTGAAAGGCCTTGCTTTCAAACAAACATGTCCATGCTGCAATCTTATACCCATTTATTACCAAGGAAGTCCCAAATAGCTCAGGGAGGCCTACTGCTAAGGAGACATGTATGTTACCAGAATTGGCCATTCCTTAATGAAATGTTGAGCCATTTTTGTACTGGTCTTCCTTGAGTTGGTACTCTTAGTATTTAGCTATATTGGTTTCAAGCTGCTTCAGGGCCTCTACTTCATCATACTAGAGAATGAATCCACTTTAAATATGGTTTCTGTCTCCAGCATTCTGGGATGTGTAGTTTAGCAAGGCTGCTAAAGGCTCCTTCCAAAACTACAAACCCCAGAATTCTACAGGAAGCAAAAACTGGATTTAAAGTGGATTCATTAAAAATTAATCCACTTTAAATATGGTTTCTGCCTCCTGCAGCATTCTGGGATTTGTAGTTTAGTGAGGCTGTTAAAGGCTGCTCCCTAAACTACAAACCCCAGAATTCTGCAGGAGGCAGCAACTGGATTTAAAGTGGATTCGTTCTCTAGTGTGATGAGGTCCTTATTAATCACAAGAAAGCAGATCAAACTCCTTACCAAAACCATGACCAAGACCATACTTTCTCAGCAGAGACAGTACTTCCTCAACATGCAGTCTGCTCACTAACTTCAGGTTGCTGTGAGTTTTCCGGGCTGTATGGCCATGTTCCAGGACCTCACAACCTCTGCGGATGCCTGTGGCATGTGCAGGGTGGGAGAAAGAACTTTTGTCTGTAGGAAGTAAATGGGAATGTTGCAATTGGCCATCTTGATTAACATTGAATGGCCTTGCAGCTTCAAAGCCTGGATGGTTGCTGCATGGGGGATCCTTTTTTGGGAAGTATTCACTTGCCTAGTTTCTAACAGACCTCACAACCTCTGCGGTTGCCTGCCATAGATGTGGGCCAAAAGTCAAGAGAAAATGCTTCTGGAACATGACCATATATCCTGGAAAACTCACAGCAACCCAGTGAAAGGCCTTTGACAACACATTTTCAGTAAACAGGTTATAAGGGAGGGGCCAACCGGCAAGGCTTCTAATGATTTCTACTTTGTTCCATGCAAATGAATGCACGCCTTTGTGCAGGGAAAGCTTCCTGTAGTTTGCAGGAGGTAGTTTGCTTTCACTGAGTTCAGTCTTAAATGAGCTTGAGGCAATTACTTGTGTTAATCCTAAATAACATGGCGATTAAAAGTAAACATGTTGTTAAGGGAAAGAATGCTAGGAATTCTTAGTATTTCCCCCCAAACGACCAAGAGCGGCCACTACCTTTTCCCCTTTTAGTGCAACCTGTAGATAGATAGAAGCAGTTTCAATCATTGGAAAGGAGAAAGGAAGAGAAAGAAGCCTGAGCATGAAGAACGTCTGCCCTACTTTGAGCATGCACAGGGCTTCACATCCCTTATCTCGTTAATCCTCACAACAATCCCCCAACAAAGCTGATTAATATTCCCATGTTACCCATGAGGTTTGTGGATTGGGACTTGTCCAAGGCCTTCCGGTGGATTTTAAATGGCTCAGGATGGAACAAATGGTACACAAGCCATGCACTCTCTTTGTGCCGGGCAGCAGCCCCTTGAGCTAGATCTTTCTCTTACTTAGGATGTGGGAATTTAGGCAACTACTTACACAGCATCAGCTTGCCTAGTGGAGAATATATGGAGAGGAGGGAGGGAAAAGCCCTCTTCCTCTAAAAGCCCAGCAAGGGCAACCAGAGACTGGTCAATGGGAACAACAACATTTTGTCACCCTGCAACAATTTGTCACAGTTTCCATTTATCAACACTCATAACAGAAAGCATTGACACAACAGTGATAGGATAAGCAGCCAAGCAGTGTTGGCTTTTAGGCACAATCTCGAGGAATAGTTTCCCATGAGACTATGGTAGGAATATTTAATCTGTTGAAAATCATTCCAGTTGTGGTTTTACAGTAGGCTTAAAAGGCCTGAAAGTAACCAAGTCCAACCTATTTGTTATTGATATCTTATATTTATACCCCTCATCCTTATCCCCCCGAAGGGGGACTCAAGGCGGCCTATGTATTGTCGAAGGCTTTCATGGCCAGAATCACTGAGTTGTTGTAGGTTTTTCGGGCTATATGGCCATGTTCTAGAAGCATTGTCTCCTGATGTTTCGCCTGCATCTATGATAGGCATCCTCAGAGGACCTCACAACCTCTGCCCTAGATGCAGGCGAAACATCAAGAGAGAATGTTTCTAGAACATGGCCATACAGCCCGAAATAACTACAACAACCAAGTCCAAACTGGGTTGTTGTAGGTTTTTTCGGGCTATATGGCCATGTTCTAAAGGCATTTTCTCCTGACGTTCCGCCTGCATCTATGGCAAGCATCCTCAGAGGTAGTGAGGTCTGTTGGAACTAGGAAAAGGGTTTATATATCTGTGGAATGACCAGGGTGGGACAAAGGACTCTTGTCTGCTGGAGCTAGGTGTGAATGTTTCAACTGACCACCTTGATTAGCATTTGATTGCCTGGCAGTGCTTGGAGCAATCTTTTGTTGAGAGGTGATTAGATGTCCTTGTTTGTTTCCTCTCTGTTGTTGTGCTCTTCTAATTTTAGAGTTTTTTAAATACTGGTAGCCAGATTTTGTTCTGCCAGGCAATCAAATGCTAATCAAGGTGATCAGTTGAAACATTCATAATAATAATAATAATACCCCACTTTCTCTACAAAAGAGACTTAAAGTGGTTCACAGTAAAACCAAATACAATTTAAAACCTAAACATAACAAACATTAAAATAGAATTACAAATTAATGATATTTAAAAACAAACAAAATCCTTAAAAACTGCCATGGCACTCTTATTTATTTATTTACCCTATTTATACCCTGCTTTTCTCTACCCCGAAGGGGACTCAAGTTGACTTACATATAGGCAATTATTCAGTGCCTTGAAACACAAACAATTCCAGTAACACTGAAATGAAATTTAAAATTAAATTAAAATTAATACATATGAAGCATTTAAAATGTTTTAAAACATTTCATTCAATATCAAATCATGCCATCCATAATCGTCGTCCAAAGATGTTCTCTTTGGCAGAGAAGGCCAAAGATCTTGCAAAATGACAGCTCCCAGGATTGCACTGCATTGAGCCATTGCAAGTAAAGGTGTCAAACTGAATTAAATAGACAGCATAGATGCACCCTAAGAATGCATTCCTATTATCCCTTCAGCAGCGTGGAATTCAAAAGGGCACAGCACAATCCTATGGGGACATTTTGGCTAGAAGACATAGTGTCTGATCTAGCCCTCCTTCCTCTACTGACCTGGATTGTTGAGTGATCATCTATTACAGGCATGGGCAGACTTCAGCCCTCCAGGTGTTTTGGACTTCAACTCCCACAATTCCTAACAGCCCCAGAGTGCCAGGGGCATCAGTTCTGGTTTTTGGCAATGCACATCTATATAAATAAAATGTAATGTTTGTTAGTGCGATTAACATAACTCAAAAACTACTGGACGAATTGACACCAAATTTGGACACGATACACCTACTAACCCAAGGAGTGACCATCAGTAAAAAAAAAAGATTTTGTTATTTGGGAGTTGTAGTTGCTGGAATTTATAGTTCACCTACAATCAAAGAGCATTCTGAACTCCACCATGATGGAATTGAACCAAACGTGGCACACAGGACTCCCATGACCAACAGAAAATACTGGAATGGTTTGGTGGGCATTGACCTTGAGTTTGGGAGTTGTAGTTCACCTACATCCAGAGAGCGCTGTGTACTCAAACAATGATGGATTTGGACCAAACTTGGAACGAATATTCCATATGCCCAAATATGAACACAGATGGAGATTGGGGAACATAGACCTGGACATTTGGGAGTTGTAGTTACTGGGATTTATATTTGTCTACAATCAAAGAGCATTCTGAACCCCACAAACGAGAGGATTTGGGCAAAGTTCCCACACAGAACCCCCATAACCAACAGAAAATACTTAAGGCCACCCAATCCAACTCCCTTCACCAGGGCAGGAAAACGTAATCAAAGCCTTCCTGACAAAGAGCCATTCAGCCATAGATAGAGATAGATATATTTGATTCACACTCACACAGATCATAGATTTGAAAGTGTTCCGTCTTCCAGGAGCTTGGTTTGCTTTGCCCTTTAGTTGCATAAAATAACATCCCTTTGCATTTTCCCCAGGGTTGCAGCAGCACCCTGAAAGTTAATTATTAACAGAGGCTGGAAGCCAGCCTGCAAGTCTTTTGCAGCTATTGGTTTAAAAGGTGTCCTTTTGGTCTAGAGACCGCCCTTTTTCCTGGGGATGAGATCTCCATTTTGGAAAAGCCCTCCTGCTTTCTTTAGTATAGAAAAAGCCTCAGATGTGCTGGTGGCCAGCTAAGCAGCTTGGACAAGCCATTGTGAGTACGATTGAGATTTAGGGTTGAGGTTACCCTCTCGCCTTTGAAACTGGCGTTGAGCTCAGATAGAGAAAGACCTGCTCTTTCTAAAGGACAGTAGCTCAGCACT